TGAAGTAAGTCAAGAATTGTCCGCGCGCCTCCTGATTTATTCAACTGATGCATCCATCCTCACCGAAAAAAATTGAAACGAAGTTTCTAGTTGTATGGGTTACCTACTACAACGGTACCCCATGAGTCATGGGTTTACTACCTCATGAAGGGGTTAACTAGTTGTGGGAGTTCTCCCTCTAGCCGAAGTGGGGCTAGTGCTCCTTCTAGTCCCCGAGGTAAAGCTAGAAGATGAGATGGCTGCGAGTCTTCAGTTGTCTACTCTTACTTTCTCGTAAAGGAGGACGGAAGCTTTCTCTTAGACTAGGGTGGAGGAAGTCGGCAATTATTCTTTTGAAGGTCGTAGCAGGATAGTTAGCACAGAAGAAATAGAGAACTAGTTGATATTGCCATGACTAGGTCTCCTAGAACTGCTAGTAAATAATAGCAGTTTGTTGTAGATTCAGCATCATTTAGGAGAGAAGAGACGCGCAGACAGTCGCGGCGGTGGACCAGAGCCCGTGGCGCTCAATCGTTCACTGCCTCGATTGCGTTCAATCTCACTCTTCCAGAACTACTACTACCAATGTAGTTTGTGCTTCTAACTGCTTAGAAGTCCTGAGGAGCATGGCGCGTGCTAGTGTGTTCTACTATGAGTGATCATGATGGTGCTACCTCATTTTCATTTTCTTTCTTTTCTGGCTAGGGCTCGACTGGGGGAAGTCTTATGCGTCGTGTGTGAAGTTCTTCCTTGGAAACTTGCAGCTACAATGGGGATGCTCGCGTAAAATGGACAGAGAGCGACTCGCTGAGTAGGATTATACGTTGTTACTCATGTGGCCTGCTGTTGGACAAAAGTGGCACGTCTCTTCAAGACATGGCACGTCCGCAGCAGGCGACTTGCGCCCCTGGGACTGTTCAATAGAGTCACTCCGCTTATGTTACAGTATCAGTGTAAGTATGGTGGAACAGCGTAGCGTTCTGAATTTCCTTAGTTGCGTTTATTCGTCTTACATCTTCACATGACTAACTTGTATTATCGTTATCCCATCACCAAAAAAGATTTCTCATTCTCATTGACTATTTGATGTATTTGTAGCTCCGCAGCATATCGTCCCACATGTTTGACCTAAGTACTCAGATGTTTGATTGTTTTTCAATAATTTGACTCCGTCCACCAAAACTTCATCCATGCAAACTCGTCACCAAAATGAGATCTCTATGATTCATCAGTCATATACAGAGGAATACACACATCATGACAAGCCAGCGCGCGACTTGTCGCGCTGGGGCTGTTCTACAGTAAAGAGTCTCTCTGCTACTACTACTCGAGAGCAGAGGAGGCGACTCAGTGTCGCTCCGCGACTGTTTGGGTATGGCCTTTCAGTCTTCCAGAAGCAGTAGGCTGATCCAAAAGGAGGCGGATGGTCTATCATTGGATGATCTAGATCTGACACATTGGATGAGATTTCTATTATTATATATAATGCATTTGCATGAGCAGGGCCCTCATTGAGGGGAACGGGAACTCACTCAACCAGTATCAGGAGTATTTTTTAGGGCAACTCACTCAACCAGAACTAGTTGTACTACGGATTGATAGACGTTAGTGAAAAAAGCACTACTTACATGAGCTTCTAGTTAAGGATTTGCTTTTTACTAGAAAAGAAGTCGGTCAGTCGACCACGGCCGCACTTGAACAAGGAGCTGCATTAGCAGCAGCTGCGGATGCGAAAGGTGAGAGTGGCCTTGTGAGCAGTGACGCCAAGAATGCTGAAGCTCCTTCGACAAGCTCGTGCATGCATGTCGCGCCTCGGAATTCGAAGACCGACAAGACAAACAACACTGCAGCTGTTGCTACTCCTTCACCTCCGCAACGACACTAAGGCATGATAGAAAGATATACTATAGATCTTGATATCTTCCTGATTCAGATTCAGATTCTCCATTGGTGTCTTATCTTTCAGTAAATACGCGTAGGGGCGTTACGAAAGACAAAAAACATGTGTTCAGACTCTTGATGAGTCTCCAACTTCGATAAAGTAGATGTAGTTCGTAGACGTAGAAGAGAGAGAGAAACCTAAGCGTGAAGATATTCAATTCCGTATAGTACTCGAAACCTCCCTAGTAAAGGCTAAACGTCATGATCTTCTTCAAGAATGTGGTAACAGAAACCCCATCCCTAAATGTTAAACATGTTGATGATCATCTGCTATCGTCTAATATCAACAACAGCCTCCGGCGCAACAGGTTCCAAGGGGTCTGTGGTTTGAGCCTTTATCCCTCATAATGATGCAAATGCGTCTGCCATTGACCAGAGAGCAAGCACGCGCACTCTTTGCGCATTATGCGAGAGAACATGCAGAACAAAGAGACACGTCGCAGAAATTAAGGCTCGCGACCTCGCCGTCAAGGACCTAATAAATCGTAATTGATTTTGATTCATCAATCTTCATAGATAGATGATGACGATGAGAAGCATTTTTTTTGTGGTTTGCTCAGTCAGACCAAGGACTGGCTGTAGAAGGCAGGGAAATCAACAATTGATGAATTTGCGCGCGCGCATCTAACTCTGAGGAGGGCGACGGCTATGGAAGACACCTCTGACGTAGGGACGAGAAGAGCATCTACATTTTCCAGAGCAGGTTAAGGCCCCAAATAAGTCGTCGTCGACGGACCACTTTTAATGTTTGATAGAGTTGTGGATCGTCAACATCAAGAGCAGCAACATCTTCTGGAGTCGTGAAACTTCTAGGAGTTTCATCAAGCTCCACTTGCACTTCTAGGAGTTTCATCAAGCTGCAACATGAATCTTGAAAAAAAGCAAGAAGTCTTGAAGATTATACTCCAGCATCTCTCTAAAAAGTGGCGGAAAATGGCGCTGAGGCTGACCCAACAGCAACAGCATCAGCAGTTAAGGCATTTATTGATAACTCATCTCCGCAAGACCAAGAGCCCAAGAGCCACTAGCACGAGCCACGACAGAGGATGCGAAAAAGCTGGATCCCTTTCCCTCGTGTAGTTGTACTTTGTAGTCTTTCCACGACAGTAGACGTAGATGAGTACTTAAGTTTGAAAGTATCTTCCCGGTAGCTCGTAGTCGTGTTTGAATCGTCGTGAAGCGACAGTAGAGTGAGCTTGAAAGTATCTTGTCTTCTGTGTCGCTCGTAGTCATGTTTAAATCGTCGATCCCTGTCGTCCCTCGTAGTGTTTAAAAAGTCGTGAAGAGGACGTTCTCCTTTTCATCCTCTAAAAGACACGACTCACGCCAAAGCCTCTTCTTGTCTCGAAGCAGAGCACAGAGTCTATTTTCAGATTTAGGGCTTCCCCTAATCCAACGCCAACTCTCTGGAGATCCCTCATCCTCAATAGTATGCACCCCAATACCAGGGAGATACTCTTGAGGCATATTCTACTTGAGGGATCTCCACAGGGATAGGATCGAATAGGATATTAGTGTGCCTTTGCAGGGATGAATTATTGGGGGAAGCCAAGCTCTAAGCGATGTGATCGATTTCGGCGTCCATAGGGAAGCATTCTTCTACTTTCTACATTTTCATCGGATACAGCTCCCGGACTCCGCCATTCTAGCACTTTGGGATCAAATCATACTGCCGAAATTTATGAAGTAGAATCAAATATCTCAATCTCAAACAAAAATGTTACCTGCTATATCTCTAGATTGCTAATAAATGTTCACCTATATCTATCACGCGGGCTGGTCCTGGAGCGTTCATTCGCCCTCAGCTACTTTATGTAATGGTCGACTCTAGCTAAAAGTGGAATGATGTAAGTATTGTTCGTCGTAGACAAAACGAAAGAAACAAATACAAATAGACGCTTCTGCTTGTTGTGCTTCATCTTGTTCGCCAGCACGACTACATCCAGTACCTTCTAGACCAACAGGAGCCCACAGTTACAGCGTCTCCGTCTAACTATCGGCGTGGTGCCTTGCAGAACTCCACGGTAGAGCTGCCCTCTTACATGGCTGAAACATTCATTGGGCAGTGGATAACGGATCTGCGGATGCGGAATGAGGAGTATAACATTACGAATCCATCGACTTCAAAGGTTGTCGTTGTATATTTAGTTGTACTAGTTGCAGAAGTAGATGCAGAAGTAGATTCACACTCAGCAGAGGAAGTAGTGAAAATATCTCGATGTTGTCGGACTAGGACATTAACATTGACATGAGTACTATTTTAGTAGAACAAGTAGAAGTATCTTAACCTTATCGAGGTCGTCGTGTAGAAGTACTAGAAGATACATTTACGTCAACGTCCTCGTGGTCTTTCACTAGGAGAAAGTGTCTAGCTTCAACTAAACACTAGTAGGCTTATGAGGATTAGTAAAGATCTTGTTGTATTTCATTTTCACGTAGTTGATTATCTTGAATGCTTTGTTCTTCCATGATAGTGAGTGTTTGATGTGTCGTTGTTGAAACTTGAGACCTGTCATGTGACTGTGGCGTCATTACTGAGCTCCTCTCAGCTGAGACGAATCTGTCCCTGACGATGCCTATTACTGGTCGTAGTGATTAGCGGCCATTAGCTAGTCAAGTGTAAGTGTCGTGAAAACCTTATCACCAGAAAATGAATTTGAATTTTGGGCGATAAAAAACCACTTTTTCGAGAATAATTGAAATTTCGACTTCATTTTTTTGAAATTTGAAACTTTGAATTTCTACTTTTTCCATCTGAGAGAATCTGTGGAATGTTGTAGATAGCAAGAGGGCACACAGATGCTTACTCTATCATAATGTAGTAGAAGTAGGATGTACTATTAAAGTAGTAGTGAGAGGATCTTCGCTCGATAGGCCGGAATAAAGACCAACTACGGTCGCACGTGATGTACTGCTTCTGCTTCTACTTCAGAAGACGTAACTCTCTTTCCAAAAATGTAGTTCTTTCACTCCTAGAAAGACTACTAAAGAAGTTTGTTGCTCAACCTAGAACAAGAGACAACAACAAGCTCCACCTCTAAGTTCTCTAATCTCGAAGCAGAAGACAACAAAGAGCAGATTGCGAGTACCTCTGTGGCGCCATGGCCTCCAAAAGAACTTGTGCCGATCGAATTTTATGCTCCATCTCCTAATCCATCTCTAGTACAGGGAAGTAGATTCGTCAACAATTCAAGGGGATCCGTCAACGTTTCATCTGGCGTTGTACCCCATGAAAATAAATGAATGGCAACTGCAATATCTACTAGAAGACGTAGGTGGTGGACGAGTAGACCTATTTACCTGTTAACTTTTTACTCCGTACTGTAGATAGTTGACCTTGACGAGGACAGAGTAGATAGACTGGAAGCGAGGGGATAGCGCTCGTCTTAGCACCGACCACAGAGATGTTCACAGATATCAAAATCAATGGTTTGCTAGGGACACTTAGCTCTCTCTAAGAGTTTGTTACCGATTTAACAATCGAGGTACTGCTTCGAAGTGGGATGTGGGTAGAGTTTGCCAAAGAGATACTGCGTTCGCTCGACGTCGTCGCCGCTCCGGATGTTACGATGAGTCACTCCTCTTGAGGGCGCTTGATTGGTACACCCAATTTTTAAACTCGTAAAATCGAACCTCAAATTGTTGATGTCAGTATGAAAAAGTTGGCCCCCATTAAACTCGAAAAATATAAAATTGTTCACAGCATCAAAAAGGTGGCCCCCATTTAATGGTCGAAGCTCGCCGATGCTATTTTGGTTCTTTATCTTTCCTCCGTGGCAGTTTCACTACCTCAATTTTGATATACGCGTTATTCTTGACCACATTTACCTTACGTTATATCGACCTTGAAGTTCTTGAATCTGTTGCGTCTTGCCGGTAGTTTAGAAGGGCTACTCACGTTATTTTTGACCACATGCACATTACAGCGTTATATAGTTACTTATATATCATCGACCCACCTCCCACAATGATTTATATTACTCCCACATCGTTGTGTTATCAATATATGATTAAGGACGCTCTTTCTAATATCCATGTAGAAAGCATCTTTCGGGAGTTGCTGATAAAAAACATTGTGGAACAGAGTTCGGCAGGAGACGTTGAGAAGAGCAATTCGACGAATCAGATGACGGGGTTTCTCCCATTCGACGACTGCTATCGGATCCTCAAAGGCGTCGGGAAGATTATGATTCTGACTTGCTCCAAATTGGCTCCAATATGACTTCTTGCGCTTTCGGAAAAAATGATAAAAATGCAGATGGTCTATCTCTATAGGATCGATTGTATTCCTATTCCAGAAGTAGAATACACAATCGATTTCTTGTTGGATACATATCATTCAAGATTGGTGATTCTTGCTTCGCCCCCTAAGAAAGGTAATTACATGTCGTGCGCCTACTTATCGAAGGTATTGTTCTTTCAATCGGTAAATGGACCTTGTCGAAGGCATCTTCCTTTCAACTAGAGGAGAGAAAAGCTGTGTATCCTGTCAACTAGAAGAAACAGAAAGGAAAGGTGGTTTCAAACTACACTCTGATCGCAGCTACATTCTGATGGAACGTTCTAAGAAGACATCGGGAATGGATTTCCGCTACTTCCGGCGCACCATACAGGCCTTAGTTATGGCTCTATTAAAAATCGTTGATGTAGTCGTGCATGTGCTATAACTTCCTGCTTCCTCAGTCTCAGAGTCTAGCTCGATTAGTACTAGTACTTGTACTTCTTCAACTTCTTCAGACTCTAGCACGTCTTGCTTCTTCTAGAAGATGGACATGTAGTCCTTCAGATCATTGATGAGGTCATTATGATTATGTTGTTAGTTCCGCTAATCCAAGCCTCAACTTTTCCTACGCGGACTTGTATGACACTTACGTGCAGGCGGAAAAGGAAGAACGCCTCCGCCTTGAACAGTTCCAGTTAAGGCTTGTCAACATAGTACTTTCTTTATTCATCTTTAGCGACAGGATAAGGATACTTTTTAACTTGTCTCAGTCAGACTAATGAGTGAGTCAATCCTTCTTGAATATCTCAGCAGATTCTTTTTTCCACTATGGTGCTATTGCTTCTGGGGTAGGAGAGAACATTTTTGCTGAGAATACAAGTGCAAAAACTCTGTTGGCTCCTGTAGTACAATGAATGGATGAATCAATGAAAATCCTCTAATCCAGTTGGCAGCGTTGATCTTGGTGAAAGAGCGACTTCAGCGGCAGTTCATGCGCGAGCTTGGTTTGGAATCGGATCAGATTTTCTTAACGATGCTCGGCTACAGTGCTCTCTTCATACTGATCTTCCTCTTCTTTTATGGCGCACAAAGAAAAAGCAACCGGATAGTTTTTCCCTCATACCCTAGGTTTATCCCAACAAACACAATCTATCGCATCAATCATAGTTGATTATTCTCGTGTGAGCTGTGAAGTTGAGGGTGAGTGTGTAGTTGCCTGTATCTGTATGAGAGACCACTGTTAGTGGGTATCTTTCAGGCTCAACAATGTTAGTAGGTATCTTGCTCTAAACGATTGTTTGGCTCCATGTCGTCATCCTCCTTACGAGTTTCTTTTTCTTCTAGATAGACCGTCGGTGAATAATTAACATCAAAATCCACAAAGTAGATTTCTAATTTTCGCTGCTCGTGTTGCAGAGTTTCGGTCCGGGTCATAGTTTGATCACGACTTCGGTCCAGGTCTTCTTCGCAGCTTTCGTTACCTTCAGTGTGGACCGGCTCAGCAGCGAGGGAATCAACTTGCCGACTTATCTATTAAGGCAACTGTTACGACTTATCTATTTCTATTAGGGTCGTGATATCAAGAACATCGATTGCTTAGCGCGCGGTCATCTGGCTATAATCATACTACTGGCAACAAGGCTATGCCTTGTCCTTAATCAGTCAAATACCTAGTTTCTTTGCAACTATTAAGGCCACTGCTACGATTCCGTCTACGACCCTAAGGAAAAACTCCATTACGCTTTCGCCCACAAGGACTGCTAGCTACAGCTATTTCTTTGTGCCTCTTGTTTTATTTCTCTCCATAGATTTGCGCTTGGTTTGATTTACTTTCCATAGGGTCTAGTATCAGAGATACTCTTAAATACAAATCTCCATGCGCATGCTCATCTGAGGCATGAGAGTTTTGTGAACAAATCAACTGCAGTTGATCTTGTCAGTCAGCAACTGTCTACCCTCCGTAGGCATAGTGGCTAGTACTGGAGATGCACTTATACAACTCTCCGTGGGGAGATCTAATGTAAGGCAAATTGAAGGCAGTAGTGAAGAAATCCGTCAGGGTTATGCACTAGCTCATCTGCTGCTGGAGGAGATAAGAGCATTGGGCTAGTACGACAAGCTGCTGTGCGTGTACGTCAAGAAGACACCACATGGGATGCAGATGCCAGTAGGTGCTGTTCTTGTACGAGGCGAAAAATTAGAATGGGACGAAGATGCTAGTAGGCGCTGCTGTACGTGTAAGTCAAGAAGAAAGATGGGATGAAGATGCCAGTAGGCGCTGTTGTACGAGAGGAAGACAAGAGGAGACTTCTACAAAGATGTGCATAGTGCTATTGTTTTGAAGAGGAAGACCACGAATGAGACCACTCAACAGGATTCAGTTATTCAAAAACTTACTTTTTATGTTGCTATGTATTCATCATCCTGAATGAGTTGAACATCAAAATTTGTATCACTCGGCAAAAAATCGAAATCATCACTCGCTTGCTCCCTAAAGTAATAAATTTCGCGACAGCTTCTATTGAGGTACATGATGAAATGTAATGGTAGATAATGATCACAAATGTTAATACAACGTCTATCTTATGTTGACGCGTATCTTCATCTACTTGCCGTATATCCACTTCAATGTGGAAACGAAGATAGAGACGGATCATCCTCGGTGTCATTCTAGCTACTAAGCAAGAAGTTTCCGAGAAGATGTTGCTACGTCTATATCACCAAAGACCAAAGTTGTACTACTTGTATATTAACCTGCTTGGCAAGAAAAGGCGTGGCTACAACTTCGCATATCATATCGCCACAGTTGTAGGTAGTCTATCACCAAAGAGTAACAAGAGTTGTTTGAGGATTATGCAGCTAAGTTGTCTCTGATGAAAACCATCAAACGAGACTGAATCAAAATTAACAGGTTTTCGCTTTTTTTGGGAGTTATCTTCAGTATTAATTTACATTTCTAGAAGAATGGAAGCGAAGGCGGAGGGTAGAGCAATGTAGTCTGAACGAGGAGCGGCTGTACTTACTGAGAACGATTATAAGATAGAAGCGTGAGCAGAAAGCAGTTTCCGAGTTTTCCTTTTTGAAAATATTCAATAATATCGGAAAATCTTCTTGAGAGATATCTATGACGAACTACAGGCTGTTTTCCAGATCCAGTGTAAAGCCGTTGCTTCTTTGCGTCAAGCCTAGGTCGTCTGAGACGCATTGTAATTGAGACTGGCTATCATTGCAACTGAGACGCATCGCGCTAGCTGCTGGCTTGGTGATTTGTGACCAGTATGATGAAAATAGAGTTAGTGTCAGTGGTCAGTGATGGTGTAGTGTTGGGTCATTTGATAATTGTTGTACCTGATGCGAACGAGGGACTTGATGTTGAGGAGAGGAAGGTGCTGTTCTCAATTATATTATGAATCACTCGGTTACCGACGGTAGTGGAGGTATCATCTGCATATGTTATGGGCGCGTCTTCGTTCTTGCGTCGGTCTCCATGTCTATGCCATGCGTCATCTTTTTGATATATCGGTCAAAAGTCTCACCGAAACAAAGCGAAGCCCGCTGCTACCTAGACCCATACTGCCTCTGTCATGCAAGTAGCTAGTTTGGAGAGCAACTACATCCATGCTCTTCTGTGTAAGAATAAATCACTTGAAAAACGATCTTCAAACACCAAAAAAATAGGAGCAAGTGCACACGTTGAGAATGCTTAGCATTAGGTCCGACAATAACTAGAGACACCGACGCCACAATCTAGAAACATCTTCTACTTCCTATCACAGCACTACTATTGTAGCCTTCTAGCTATTATACCCGTGAAGGTCATTTATTTTGTTTTGCACCACGAAGAGACGAAAGAGCCGCACCACTTCAACACAACGGCGAGTGACTCAGTAAACTTTCTCGTGGCCAAAAATAATCAGAGAAAGAGATGCCGCTCCTCGAAGAGGCATATGCCGAAACAGCTCCGCTCATGGAGAGCGACCCCGACCACGGCGGTGGCCACAGTGGTGAAATTCTTGCACTTATGCCGCGTAGCGTCAGCTTTTCTATCTTCTGCTACAAGCATACATACTCCTGCTACAACTTTCGTGATGGTTCCACTTAGCGAGAACTTCCACGCGGAAGCATATTATACATAGCCTCTAGAGTCCTTATCCATCCTCGGGCTTCAGAAGTAGTGCCGATGAGGCCTCGGCGTTTGCGCCTTCTTTGTAGTGTGCCTTTCGGATGGGTTAGCTGTTTTTACTACAGATGTTTCCTATCCTCTAATAGACATAGAGCAAGTGCTGGCGGTGGCGTTTTGCCTGTCTGGGCGTGCGATGCCATGCTGATGAGCCGCGCGAGCGTGATGAGCAAGCAGACCAACTACCACATCAAGAAGGTTTGCGCCTTGTTGCTCTTGCTCTTGGTATCTTCGATTGCAGTAGTAGGCCCGGCATTCTTGGCGAGTCCATTGGTGGCGCCAATTATGGCTCGAAGCTGAAAGCTTACAATCCAAACTAGTACAGGAGTTATTTGTTATAGATAGACTTGCCCCATCAATAAGCAGATGGGAGACTGGCTCTCTTGCTGTGATCTCCGAGAGTGATAATTTAGATGCTCGGGATGGGAAAATGGGGCCTCTTCTTGATCTCTCAACCTGATTTGACAGATGAGCGCCAACTGTCTGACGCCTCCACCTCTTCTAACATGCGTGGCGCCGCGCGCGATGGTGCAGCCGCTGGGCTTCAACATCCAGCCACTCGCGCTCGTCTTGGTCGCGCTTGTTCTACCTCTGCAAGTAACAGCTCCGCAATGAGCACCGCGACGGCGATGGATGAGCTGAGCTTCGCCGACCTTCCAACAGGTTCAAGCGGTGTTCCTCAGCCGGAGACGGTTGATGCGGCAGCGGTTGGGGCTCTGATGATCCAGATCCGCGATGCTCGGGCGCTGATGGAAGAGGGCACAGCAACCTCGTCGGCGTTTCGCGCGTTTTCAGAAGTGATTCTCAAGTACCAGGCCATGAACAAGAACATCAAGGCTCGTGAGCAGAAGGCCCGCCACGAATTCCTCCGCATTTCGCTTCTTTCACTAAAGATATACTGGTTTGATCTGAGGGGTGACGCGAGGTCTGATGCTAGATTAGAACCACGAGCAGAAAGGGCATTCAACAACTTAAGGCACAGAAAAGCCCAACCTTTTACACAACTCATCTCTCTCCAAACTTTTTGTAGGCTGAGAGCGAGACCACACCAGCCAGCACATGACTCGCAGCGGCAGCACGCAACGAGTTCCGGAGGTGCCACACATTACACGACACAGAGTAGACGGCGCGCAGTGTACATCACAGACGGCGGCGGGCCGTGATTTTTATCTTATGTCTTGTCTTCCGCCTCGAGCTCCCTCGAGGCCCGAGCGCTTTGGCCTTTGCTTTTGAGTTGTTTTGTGGTGCGAGTGCGACGTAGTGCGAATTCGTATGCTATTGTAGACTTAGGCTAATGCATCGCGGTCGCTTAGCTTTGTTTTGTTTTCTTTCGTCTTGGAATGCACTAGGCTAGCACTAGCAAAGCACTAGCTTGAGACTAGACAGGCACCAACCCCAACACGAGAGCCACTGCACTGCGACACCAAGCCGGTCTAGCTACTCTACCACGTGGCAGTAGTTTAGTGCTGCACTGTATAGAATAGAGCTGGCTCCACTTTGGGCCTGATATTGAGAAGACTAGACAAGAGGAGAGACGAGAGCGAACAGCGCAAAAGCAGGGCAGTGGCGTGAAGTGGTCTAGTTCTACAGAACCACAAAGCAGCCACATGCGCACTGCTCTGCATAACATTCACAAACGGCACAAGCATAGCGCCGCCTTGCTTTCAACTCAACTACCAGCAAGCCAAAGCCTGCGGCGATGAGTATCGGGCCAGCAATCATGGCGCCATACCAGTACGACGGTGGGGCGGCTTTCGCGATCTTCGTCGCGGGTCGTCTGGGTGTAGCCTATCCTGCTTCGCTTATCGATGGCAACCAATCGGCAGCGGGCAGCCTGCTCGGAACTGCGTCGCCCAATGGCTAAGCATAACAGAAACAGCATGAAACCACTGAGCACGCGCCACGCCTGCGCTAGGCTGGCTGAAGCGTGCTCTACTGTTGCCTGCGCTAAGAAAAGACCAGCGCAGACGCCCACGCAGACGGAGACCCAGACAAAGCCTGACTAGATAGACCAAGCGGGTGCCAGCTGAAGCCACCGCCTTCGCTTTTCCTTTTGCTTCGCGCTGCGCTGCGGCGAGGCGCGCGCGGCCTGCCTTTGGGTTTTGCTTTTGCGTTTCTGTTTCCTTGGGCCTCTCCTTCTGGTTCTGCCTCTTCGTCGTCCTCCTCTCCTTGCTGAGTTCAGCACCGCCTCCACTACCGCAGGCTCGTCGGGTGGCGTGTCTCCTCCAACTGATTCTAGTCCCCCCGCAGCTTCCTCGCCTGAAGAACAGCGCGCAGCGTCCGCAGCGTCTTGCCCCTCCCATATCCAACTGGGCAAAAAGCTTATCCAGCTCCGCAAGATCTTGGCCATTTGCTAGGGGGCAAGCCTCTCCAAGCCTTGGGCGCGCCTTGGCTTCCCGTTCTTTGTTGCTCTGTCTCCGTTTTCGGCTCAGCGCTAGCGCCAGCTTTGGCCTTGGCCCCCGCATCCAGCTGGAGGCCCCGACCTCTCACCCCGCCACACCCGGACGACGTTCCACGTCCAGGCCTGACCCCCGCGCCATCGGTCTGCGCGAAAAATGCCTGTGCCAGGTGCAGGCGGGCCCTTTCAGTTTGACGGTGGAAAAGCAGACCCAGGCCCAGCAATGCTTCCGCTGAGGGTAATGCCTACGAGTGCCGCATCATTCAGGGCGTCGGGCTCTTGTCTCTCCCTCGGAGTCTTAGGAATACACGCACGGCAGTCGCCGGTCGGATCTCCTGGCGCAGCTTTTTCTGGTAAAGGTCATTCGCAAGCCTTCGAAGCCACTCCGGTGGCCTCGGCGCCGGATTGTGCTGCCCCGTGCGGCCGTTGAGCCATAGCGAGTAAGCCAGTAGATGAGAGCAACAACTCAACAGAACAGAGATGACGTGAGAAGTGGAGACAGTGGCAAGAAGTAGAAAACAACACGAGACGAGAGCAGAGGCTGAGGCATGCCAGTGGCTCAGTGAGGGCCTGAAAGACGCAGCCAAGCAGCCCGGCAGCCAGATGGGGGCTGGCGGTCTCCGTTTCTTCTTCCCCGGTGGCACAGGGTGCGACCAGGCTGGGGGAAGATGGAGGGACTGCCTCAAAGTCCTTGGGCTCTTCAGTGAGGAACTTCAGAAAAAAGGAGGCAGCCGCACGACCGTGAGGAAGGCAGGAATGGGAAAGGAGACGAGTGAAGGAGCTGGAAAGAAAGAACAAAAGCGCAGGCGGCAAAGAGACCGCAAAGAAGAGAAGGAAAAGAAGCGCGAGCCGGTAGACCGAGAAGCGCAGGAAGCAAAAAAAACCGACACCAAAGGCAAAAAAGGGACGGAGGTAAAGAGAGTGAAGAGGAGCGCAAAGAGAGCACCCATAAGGGAAGCAGGCGGACGGCTGGAAGAGTGGCCCGGTGGAGTAGTCATCCAAAAAGTTGCGAGAAAAGGAGGGGAGACGCGGCCGCTTTTGCGCAAAAGAAGGGAAGCGATAAGCCGGGGAGAACTGAAGAGAAGGAGCACAGAGCCCCGAGACAGCGCACACTCAAGCGGCCTGGTGGTCTATGAGTGGACGGCGGGGGCCGGTAGGAATGGTGTGGTAGCCATGGCCACCCATAAGACCCACGCAGGCAGGCCAGGGAGAAACGGGGACACGATGACAGAAAGGGCTGGCAGGCTCCGAAAGGGGCTCGCGGAGTTAAGCAAAGACATCAAAAGAAGAGGCAGAGGATGAGGAACAGAAGAGAGGCAAAGGCCCCCGATCTCTCTAGCCTTCGAAAAAGATCGGAAAGGAGGGGAAAAGGCCAGAAAGGAACAGGCAGCAACCCAACAGGAAGCAGAGGCATTTGTGAAGGGACTGCGGGGCGCAGGCTGCGCCGTTTTACCTTGGCGGATACAGCGAAAGGAATGGAACACGTGGCGCCTGGGCAAGGACTGGACGCACGTGATCAGGGTAAACGCTGGGAGGAACAGAAACGCAAAAGAAGGCACAACGACAGGAGTGGCAGAACGTGCCAAGAAACTGCGTGACGAGATGGACGCGGAGGACGTGCGCACACAGAGGGGCCGCGGCAATGTCTGGGAACCAAAGGGGCAAGGAGTGCGGAAGGCTGCTAAGGGTGCAGGGGTAGGTTAGAATCTGGGAGGACGGGACACGAAAGAGACCCCCCAAAGAAGAATCTACGTGTATACGTGCACAACTGTAATACCCTGAAGGGCTGGGGGGCCGTACTAGACTAGTGCAAGACATGAAAGGATATGGAGTAGACGTCGCCGTAATGCTGGCGAGCAAACTCCCAAGCGGGACGAGGTGGCTGCAGGGGTATACGATGGTCACCCGAGCGGGGAAAACCGAAGGAAGAAGGGAGAGCGCCGCGATGGTATGGAGCGAAGAAATCGACAGGGAGATGGAGGCCATCGACGCGGAAGCCGACCAGACTACTCGGCTACAACTGGGCGGGAGGATCCCTCCGCCGCAAAAGTGTGGTATGGTTGGGCACTACGGAAGACAGGTGGAAGGAGAAGAAGACGCCAGGACCCGCTGGGCGGAACTACGGGGGGCCATGAAAAGTTGGAAGGGGTCGACGCTCCTGATGATGGGCGCCAGCTGGCGGATAGGTGAAACTGTCGAAGGGGTCACTGGAAGCAGGATAGTTGATGGAGCGACGACAGAAAACAGCAGCGAACTGCTCGAGACCGCCCACGCGGCAGGGATGCGTCTGATGTGCACGACCGGAAAGAATCGGGCAAAAGAAGCGCACACACATGGGCACACGCTCCCGGGGGGAGGAGGACAGGGACGGAGTAAGATAGACTACGCCCAGGCCAACAGGACGGCAGCGGAGAGGATTAGAAAAGCTGGCATGAGCTCGAGGAAACTGGGCCACACCATAAAGGAAGAAGAAGAGAAGAAGGGCCGCCGCCCCATGCTGGTTACCATCGGGCCCCTCGAGAAACAGGGAAAACGGAAGGAGCCGGGGGGCGTCGAGGTGATCCGGGACGACCGAGGGAGGGCGCGAGAAATGGCACGGCACCGGCGGGAAATGTTGAGGCCCTCGAAATACGGGCTGGAGTAACGAGAAAAGCGGGACACGCTACGGCAGAAGACTGGACAGAGGCAACAAAAACAGAAGAGGAAAGAAGAAACGGAGGAACAAGGAGAGAGGGAAACAAAGGAGAAGCGGAAACAAGAGGAGCCCGGGGGAAGCAGACAAGGGGGGCGCACGTACCCAAACACCGGCAGAGAAGCGGACGCAGATGAGGACTGCCAATGTGTGCAACTGGACGCCCAGAGAGCTCGGGAGTGAGCTGAAGAAAATCCAGCAAGGAAAGAGGACCGCGGAGGGGTCTGATGATGTGGGGCGGATACGTGAGCGACTAGCCAAAAGGGTACACGCGAGGGAACAGGAGAAAAAGCGGAGGGAGGTGCAGGCCCTCCGTGAAAGTGGGAAGGCAGTCGAGAATAAAATAGAGGGTGGGAAAAAATGAGGGACAAACAGAGGGTGAAGACGCTCCGCGCACTAGCAGAAGAAGAGGCGGCCAGGGTAGAACGCACGACGGAAAGAAATCAAGAAAGTGGCGGGCAATGCCAGAGAGCTAGAGGACATCGAGGCAGGAGAAATGGCCAAGGAGCTCGATGAAGTAATGGCCTGCACGCGTCGGATGTCCTTGAACGCTCCAAGGGCGTGAAACTTACGGAAAAGAGGACGGGGAGAAAGGCGCCCGCCTCTCCCGCATAATAGCAGACAGGAGGCCCAGATGGCTCCAAGCACCTGAGAAGCAGGCAAAGGACCAGAAGGAAGGGAACAGCCTGAAAGACTGGAAAAGGGGCAAGGATCAGAAGCAGACTGAAGGAGGGCCCGCGCCCTCGGTAGTCTGGGAAGAACTCGCCCAACGGGTGAAAGCCATAACCGAGGCAAGCACCCCAAAGGGGAGGGAGAGGCTGGGCGCGGTGATAGTAAAAGACGGGAAAAGGGAAGAGACCGGGGACGAGCTCGGGAGGCTCCGGCGTGAACGGGTCAAAGAAACAAAGGAAGGGAAGAAAGCGGGCGCCGCTTTCGCGCACATTTTGAGGGGGTGCCATGACTGAGGGGAGGACGAAGGCGACCGCGTGGCGGTGCTGGCAAGGAGGTCCGCAGAGGACGGAAATAACCGGCAAGCCCCCGGGCGAGGAGCAAGAAGAGCAGACGAAGAACGAGGCAGGCAGCACGTTGGGGCAAAAGCTGAAAGAGATCGCGGACAGGCATCGCAACCGGCGCAAACAGGGAGAGGACCTGGGGAGTGAGATAGAAGGACCGGAAAAGGAAGCGAAGGCAGCAGGGTGGAGAGACAGGATCAGGGACCTCGCTAGAGGAAGCAGGACGGACCAGGTCAGGCAGCTCCACGAAGTGGCGCGGTAGCAACAACATAAAGGAACAAGCTGAGGAGGAAAGAAGAACACTGAAGGCAGTGGCATCAGGGTGGCTGACCGTGATGGGAGATAAATATAAAGGAACGGCCAGGACGGACGACGAAACCGCGGACGCCTTCCGCGAGAGAATAGAGGAGCTATGGAGCATCGCCGAAGAAGAGGATAAGGACACCGGCGAAAAATGGAACAAGACCAAGGAAGAAGTGGGGCCGGGAAAGTGGTCGGCCAAAGTAGGCGATAAGCTTCGGGATGAGCTAAGAGTAGTGGGCGCCAGTGGACTGCCATGGCAGGTCTAGAGGGAGGCAACCGAGCAGGCCAAGTTCGCGAAAGCGGCTGGGCTGGGCGGAGTCATCGGGGGGACCTTCAGACTAGACCTCCCCCCGCGAATTGGGTGGAGGTTTTGAAGGAGATAGACGAAGCGAGTGGGGCGGAGGAGCTGCGGACAGGATGGGTGGCATGGTTGTACAAAGGGAAGGGAAACAAGGGCGAGAGAATAAACTACAGGCCAGTCGCCGTCTTGCAGGTCGCGCGCAAGATAATGCGCAGCGTGCACAGTCGCCAGCTCGAAGGAATCACAAGGGACACCATGGGAAGGGTCCGGCAGTATGGCTTCCGGGCCCGAATGGGATGCAGGAGCTACCTCCTCGACGTCAGGGAGCTTATAGAGGCAGGCGAGACGTCAGACTTTGCATGCCCTTGCGCTGTGTGATCTGAGTAAGCAAGGCCCTCGATCGGGTGAAAAGGGGCAAGCTCTGGAGGATCGTGCTGGAGCTAGGTGCCCCAGCAGGATACGCCGAGAAGGCGAGGAACTTACACATCAAGAAAACGCGTATGGTGTCGCAGTGGGGAAAGCGCCGAGCAGAAGAGGCAGCAACCGGCCTCGGAGTGTATCAGGGGTCGCCAGTATCCCCCTACCTCTTCATCATCTACACGCTTGCGACGAGTGAAGAAATGAATCGAGCGAAGACTAGAGGGGGAAGGGTTGAGGAGATTAGAAGTGGCCAAGCCAGCGAACGCGACCGAGGAACCGCGAAAGGGCTGGCAGAACAGCCGGCGCAAATGGAAGCCAAGGGTGAAGAAATGGGGCAACCTGGCCCCGGAAGAGAGACAGCCGCGCAGAGGGGTGGCCCTGGAGCATCCAAGCGCGTGAGGGGCTGACAGAGACACAGACAGGGCCTTCAGCCTCGCCGTTTACGCTGACGACGCAAGCACATGGGGACACAGGGCGGGGAAGACAGTCCGGGTGGTGGAGATCTTCGAGGAAGTAGGGCAGGGCTACAGCATGATAGTGAACAAATCAAAGACGGAGACTCTCACGCGGGAGAAACTCACCCACCAGGAGGGGGAGGCTTTGGGTGAGAGACTACGAAGCAGCGACTTCGAGGCAAAAGGGACAGACCACCTGATTAAAAGAGACGGGCGTCTAGTTGGGGACATCGTAAACATCTACGGCGCCACACGGCTGGAGGTGGCTGACCGGTTGAACAAGGCCAAAAAGGTCGCGAGGATGATCAGCCCGCTCCTAAGAGATGAGGACACTGATCAACATGACAGGACGACGCTAGCCGAAGCCTTGGCGGGCACCGTCTTACTCTATGGGCTTGATGCGTCCAAACTGTCAGGCCATGACATGGAGCAGATGCAGCAAATCCAGACCAAGCTGGTCAGGGGGGCCGTGGCGGACCCGACGGAAGAGAAGAGACAGACTCGGAGAGACTTGGGGAAAAAAGAGAGCGGCCCTACCGCTCACGGATATGACAGCGGAGGAGATCCACGCAGCGCGCAGAATGGTGGAGAAGGAGCAGCGCCTGTCGCAGGAGGAGGCAGACAGGGGAGCCCGCCTCCCCACGGTTCGGAGCAAGTGGGAACGCCTGAGGGTGCTGGCAGTAGTCGACAGATACAGGGAGGAAAAGTGGGGCAGAAGGCTCGGCCCGGGGATGACCCTCAAGGCCAGCGAAGGGCTGAACACAATGCCCGCCAGGAGAGTCAGACTAGGACGAGAAAGGGACAACAAGGAGGCGGAGACATGGAAGAAATTCAAGGAGAGAGAGAGACCGGGGAAATTCCTCCAAAACGAACAGGGGGGGCGGTCCATAATATGGAGGAACTGAGCGAGGTGCCAGAGATAATGCGGGACCCTGATAAGCTGGAAGAGACGCCACGCGTACAGACCTGGGCGGAGCGGTTGGGAATGGCAGACGTGTGGAACCTCGTGACACGCTGCCCGTAGTCCGTCGATCCACTGGAAGGAACTATGGAACGCGGCAGCGAGAGTCTTGCACAATGCCAGAAGAGGAGAACGAGAAGACAGGGACAGGACGACGCGCAAGCACTGCGGGCAGGAAGGCTCTAAAGGCCCAAGGGGCTTAGTGGCGCGCTGGGTTTGGAGGCCGCCGCATCGATGCGGAAGATGGCCGCGAGATCTTCGTGAGAAGTTGCCTGGGCTGGTCTTCGTTGCCTCTATCTTTTCGAGTATGGAAAAGGCGGCGGCGCGGCCTCGGGTGCTTTGTCTTTGTGCTGTGTTCCTCTGTTGTTGACAGCCCCGGCGCCGGGTGAGTGCGGACCGCCCGCACGTCATTGGCGTCGGCGCCGCTTGGAATACAGCCGCGGCACGCCTGTGCAAGCTCCTCGAGGTGTAGAGGACCCGCGCGGAGGACGGGGGAAACGCAGGCGGGGAAGCAATGGCAAAGCGGGGCGGCGTTGGCCATCTTTCTGCGTTTGAACGCCTGGGGTGGCTCTTCGTTTTTTTTTCTATATGAAAAAAAATCTTGGCGAAAAGTTTGCGAAATCTTTCGAAAGAATCCTTGCGGAATCTTTCCGAAAAGATAAGCGCACGAAGCTCCAACATTGTCAAACTTGTAAACTTTCTGCAAACATTCCGTGAAGGTTTTGACGCTTTCGCCTTTCGTGTTTTTTTGATGAAGGCATGGAAGTGGATCGCTGAAAACAAACTCGCAACAGCTTGCAGCGGAACTGCATAAGGCTCCGCGCTTGTTGTCTGTGGTTTTTGTGGTTTCTCTGTTCTTCTCTCCAGGCTTGGGAGGCCTCTGGCGTTGTGCATCCGTTTGAGAATTTGGCGTGAGGCTGCGCCGCGGGCTGGTTCGCCGGCTTGTGATGCTCTCGGCGCAGTGGCTGGCCTGTCCGTGTGTGGGCTGTATCGGTTTCGTTTTCGGAGCTCTTTTTGGCTTCGTTTTAATGAGACAAGGACAAGGGCCGCGCGCGTGAGCCTCGGCAGCTTTTCGCCAAGATTTTCCGCCAAAGGTGACTGGCGGGCGCGGTGGTCTCCAACTGGGTAAGGACGGCAAACAACTAGAAGGAGGGAGATTGCGCAGGCTGTGGCCTGGCCCCCAGGCTGCAAGTGAAAGAGAGCGAGAATGGAAGAAGGGCCGCGGGTAAATGATGGACGTCGTTGACTTGGGAAGGCTCTCGCATTTCCAGGAAATACACCTGGCACATGTGCAGTGGTTGAGAGTTGGGGCCCGATTATTTCAGAGGGGGAAAGCGCACAGGGGTCGGGAGGAAAGAAGAAAAGGGCGCCGAACGCGGGGAAGAAATAGGAGGGCAAAGTCTTAGAAAAGTGGGGGCGAACAAGAGTCAAGACTTTAAAAAAGTGGGAGGCGGTTGTATTTGTTTTTCAAAATCCAGGAGGCCCGGACCATTCCGCGCGGGAGTTGTGGAATTAACAAAAAACGGCGCAGAATTATGATAAAAGTACTTACTTTGTAGCATAATGCTTAGGGTAATAGGTGTAGCGGAAACTAATAAGCTGCATGCTTATTCTTTTCAAGTATGTAGTGCGAACTTTGGAGAGCACAGAGACAAATCGCGTGGCTTCTTGTTTTTGTGCGAACAGTGAAGGCAAGTCCGCGAAGAAAGAAGTGTGTGTGTTGTACCGATGCAACCGATAACAAACTTGATAAAGGTAGAGCACTAGTCACTTCCAGGCGGGGCGTGCTTCAAGGTCCAGAATGTAGTTGCAACGTGCGGAAAGACGTTAGACCTTGTCGGGAAAGAGTGGCAAGGTTTTTCATATTAGTGCCTTGACTACGTTACTAGGCTAATGCCACTTAGTGTAACTCTCCACGTTTTTCGTGTTTATTTTACAACCTTCAACAGAGTGGAAAACACTCAAGCAGAAGCGCCCTCCTTTGTTCATGCTTTTCGTTCGTTTCCCTCACTTCTCAACAGAATCGGAACACGCTCAAACAGATGCCAACATGCTCCCCCCGAGTATGTCGGATCTGGTGCGGCGTGCTCGCTCTGCTGATCGTGTTTGAGTGGGGGTCTCTCGCTTTTACTTACTTAGCTAATGCATGGCTTAGGAGTGGAGAGGCTTCGCGCTTTATTATGTAATGCGTTGCGTACTAGTACTATGCTCGACAAGTCTTGCTTTTGCGCTTTGTTCTTTTCTTGGGCTTCGGCTGTCCCAAGACTATCCAACTAGAGCTACCCGGCGGCTCCGCCAGTACGTCACAAGTAAAAAAATAAACCTTGTAAGAACAGAAGCTCCTTCTAGTCAGAAGGCCCACTCTAGTCGAACTTGACTCATTAACTGTCTTTAGATAATCAGTAGTGTGCTACTGCTACTCTTAGTGTCAGCATGCAGGTGGTTTCATCTTTAACGTCTGTAGCTTGTGTCGTGTGGATGGTTTGGCTTTTTTTAGTAAAGATATCAGCTAGGTTCTCACTTGTAGTTCACACAGTCAACATCCGTGGCGCAGTCTTATCTTGCTCACTTCCTCAGTGTAAATCTAGCAAGACCCACCAACCAAACAGAACAAGAAAAAAGAACTTTCAACAGCTTGGGTTTTCCAACCACTCAGCTGCTGGGTTTTTCTTCCTTTCCTCCTGTCTTGTTTGGCTTCATGCCTATCAGGGTGGGGGGTTTTAGTTTTAGCAAGAGCACGCACGCAGGGGTTCTTTTTTTTTCCTTTTCAGTGCGTGTCTGGCTTTTTGATGACTGCAGGGGGTAAAATGAACGGCAACCAGAGGGGGCCCATCGAAAAAATTCTGGAAAAATAACGAAAAAACTACTTGAATAATTTAACCACTGCACACGTGGCAAAAATATACTGGGAGGGGGCAGGACTGAGCCCCGAGGAGGTGAAAGAAGTGGCACGCATATCGCTGAAAGATCAAAACTGGCCGCACGTAGGAAACGGCACGCGCATCCAAGATAAGCAAGAGGCAGAAGAGCTCCCCAAACTTGTGGAAGACTGGGAGCAGAACACTATGAGCAGACAGGGGAAACCATCGACCAAGACAACCGGCGCGAGTGCCCCTGGGGGGTGAAGAAATGCCAGGGGGCACAGTCGGACACTCGCCGCTGTGGTATGTGCCAGGCGGTGCACGGTACAGGCCAGGCGTGCCCGAAGTGGCTAGAACAGGCCAAAAGGGTAAGACAGGACGAGAAAAGTTGGGAGGCATACCACGGGGCCAAGTGAATGCGCTGGGACCCGATGACAAAGGTAAAGGCGTGCCCATACAAAGAGAAGGCGTGTGGCTGGCCGGTGGAGGGGCCGGGAAAATGGTGCGAAGGGTGTAAAAGAATAGAAGGAGGAGAAATCTGAGCCACCCACTGCAGGGAAGTAGAGGAGAAAAAAAAGGGAGGACCCTTCGGGGAAAGAGCAGGAGGAAAAAGCCAAGGCCCAGAGAAAAAGACAGAGGGAAGAGGAGCGGGAGGACAAGGCAAAAAGAGAGGCCCAACGCAAAGCCCAAAAGAGAGAAGAGACAGAGGGGAAGAGAAGGGAAGGGAAGGAAAAAAGAGACCCGCGGGCAAACCGCTGGAGGGACTCGGGGAAGGGAAGAAGCCAAAGAAGCCCCCAGGGGCGGAAAAGGCTGGAGGAGAAAAGCGGCCGGCGGAGGAGCCGCGGATAGACCTCAGAAAAAGGAGGAAGGGGCTGGAAGAAGCAGCCAGGACCAGGAGACCAGGAGGAGGAGAAGGGCAACGCCCTCAAGAAAAAGGATGAAAAGGGGGCAGCGGGGGCACCGAGCAACCCCACAGCAGTGAAGAGGAAGCAGCAACGAGAACAAAGAACAAGGCCGAAAGAGAGGAAAGAAGCCAGCACAAAAGTAAAGAAAAAAGAAGAGAAAGGGCGGAGGCCTGGCAAAGGGGCCGCCGGATGAAATGAGGCCAAGAAGACCACGAAGGGAACAGAACAGCAAAAAAAAAGGCCGAAACGAAGGGGCCGCTTAAGGGGAGACCCCTGACGAAGGGGGAGCGAGGCAGTGCAGGAGGGTAAGAGCAAGCGAAGCGAGCCCCCCCCCGCCTCTTTGGGGTCGTCCCCCGGAGAGGTGGCGGGCGCGGGTCTGGCTCTGGCCTCTCTCTGCGGGGTCGAGTAGGGGCAACCTCTTATCTTAAAGAGGGCGACCCGTTTAGGTAAAACGGTTGCTGGGATGAGATGGAATCGCGCCCCAACTGATCGGTGGGGTTGCGTCATCGTCATAATCTTCACCGTCTTCACCAGTGCAAAAGCATACAGGTGAGAGGGCTGAGAGGCTGAGGCCCTTCTTCGCCCAAGTTTTTTCCTTCCTCGTTTCTTTTTGGTTTCGGTTTCTTTTTCTGGGCTCATGTGAGCCGAGCGGCTGTTGAGTGTCTATGTCTCTATAAGTGCTTAGATTCTTCGATGTTTTGGGTTTTTCGCATACTTAGTTAGTAGCTTCTCTCTCAGGTGCCGCCTGTCCTCAGGTGGTGGCTTTCCATCGCCAGCGCCCCGGGCTCTCCGCATGGTGGTGGTGGATGTCTCGGTGGGTGCCGTCGGTTGTTGGTCGGTGATTCTTGCGGGTGTGTCTGTGGTTGGGGTTTTCTGGTGTGTTGTTTTTCGTCTTTGATCGTGTTATGTTGGCGGCTTCTTGCTAGGTTTTTGCAGGTTTGGGCCTCACCGGGCCGCGCCTTGGTCGATGTTCTCTCGATCCACTCGCCCCATCGTCGACCCATTGTCAGAGCACAGATCTAAAGTGCAGATCGAAACCCCTTGAACGATCTCCATGGCAAACCTCTTGGGAATATAGTCGGCGAGCAACTGCGTGTGATCTTGATAAGCCTTTCGAGGTGAGTCCGGCAACGTCATAAACGAAGTGCCTGGGTCCTCGTCTTCTATACTGTGTCAGAAAGTCAAACTTTTTTCTCAAACAACAAGAAAAGTACATCTTGGGCTGCTGGCGTAAGGTTGGGCTTTTCTGTGCGTTAAATCTAGATGTTTTTTGGACTGATGAAGGCTTTGTGCTGGAGGCGATGCGAGCGATGTCATGCTGGGAGGACACGGACGCCCCAAATGGGTGCAAAAGTGCTGACGTGGGCGGAGCCCCACACAGTGGGCCTTGGGTGGTGCGATATATCTATCGAAACAAAGTGTCGCTAGCTCTCCGCGAAAGCAGTGTCGACACCTTGGCGGCTTTCTTCCGCTTTGGCACCGGCCCCGTCAACGGTCGTGACCAATTGGATCTGTTTCTCCCTTCTTGGAAGAGGGCCAGGGGCTGGTTCGGGGGAAGGGACGCTTCTGAGAACTGTCGACTGCTTCCAGACGTAGCAAGTCGCTTTTTTGGGAGCACAGACCAGTCGTGCTCCAGTTCTAATCTTACACCCGACAAGATCCGAGCTTTCGCTGCTCTTGGTGCACAACTGAATAGTGCGAGCGCCAAGAGCGTCCCGGAGCATTTGCGGATCTGCCCGGCGGTCGTTGCTGGTTTGCTTGCTGCCGATCCCACAACCGCCGCTACGAAGTGGAGCACCAGACTCGCCACTGAACTAGGCGTGAGAGAAGGGGAAGTTGAATCGCTGAAGAACGATCCGCAAGTTGCGGTTTTTGCACTGCCAGGTCTTGCTGACGGAACCATCAACATCCGCGATTGTCCAGACGCATTACGACAAAACCCGACTACGCGCGACCGCGCCGTGTGGGACGCTATGCTGATAATCGAAAAGGGGCCAGTGGAAACCAGGCAGGCCAAGGGACGCGCAGTCGCAAACATCGTACGACAGGCGATGGAGCTGAGCGGAGGCGAAACCGCTAAGACAGCAGGCGCAGACCGTGCAGGGTTCTGGCTTCGTGCAGTGGAGCACTGTAGTGGGCTATTGTCCTTAGTCCTAGACGCGGAGGAAGCACTTTTCCGGATGTGCGCAAAAGGCCATCGCGATCTTCAACTGGTCGCCAGAGGCGAGAGACCTTTCCGAAGTGACCTCGTACGCACGGGCTTCGTCAACTTTCTGATTGGACGCGAATGCCAAGCAGGTGAAGGCTTTGACTTTACATCACCGCGAGCGAAATCGGTGCCGCCTGATGTTGCAGTCGCGAAAGTGCGGCGCGACCTGGCAGAGAAGCTAGTCTGTGCGCACCCCCAATTATTCACAAGGTCGGACGGAGCGAAAAACCGCCTGCCAGAAGATCTGCGGAACGACAAGACGTTTGCAGCTTTTTTAGACCACGTCGACACTGAAGACCAAGAGCAACACGAAGCAGCGTGCCCTGGCAGGATAGTCGAGGCACGGGTAGGAAGTGCGTGAGGGGTAGTCGACGTCGAGGACAAGAGGAGGCGGTCGACGTCGGAGAGGAGGTGGCCGACGTCGAAGAGGAGGTGGTCGACGCCGGAGAGGAGGTGGTCGACGCCGAGGAGGAGGTGGTCGACGTCGAGGAGGAGGTGGCCGACGTCGACGAGGAGGTGGTCGACGTCGAAGAGGAGGCGGCCGTCGTCGAAGTTGAGGCTGTCGACGTCGAAGAGGAGGCGTCTGACGTCGAACAGGAGGCAAGGTGGTTGTTAGTAGTGAGCAGAGCAAGGATGGATGTCGTTAGTAGTGAAGAAAAGACCGTGAGCAGGGGCGTCAATTCTAGGAGGATGGTGAAAGGGCGACCAGCAACGTGATTGTCTGCCGTCGTTCAGAACCTACGGGAGAGGAGGGGGCTCGTACCATGATGAGATAGCAACTCCGTTGAGTTTGAGCTTGGGAGACCGGGTTGCGGTCGTCGCCGCGATGAGATAACGTTAGCAACTTGGCTGTGGTGTCATGATGGTGCAACGACTATAGCGCCATCGCTTTGGTGCGGGTGCTATACTTCGTTTTTGCCGTGCGTGACTACTTAGCTGATACATAGCAGCGGGTCTTTGCTTGTGCTATGCTGTTTTCATCGTCAGAACAGACGCGGAGGCTGAGCTTGAGGGCCTTGCTGATGTTGCGTTCTGAAAAATTGCAGCGGAATAGGTGCGCAAGTTTTATTTTTAGAGTTGGGGCCTCAGCTTCTGGAAGTAGTCAGGAGAAGGAAACTTTGAAACTCAACACGATGAATTACGTTTCTTTGTTGCAAAGCCATACAGTAAGTCTACTCCTCGACTTAGAAGTAGTAAAGACTTGGTGATCTCTTGTTTCTCTTTCTTCATCATCCGTACAGCTACCAATAATCCCCCACCAGTTCCCGGCCCATCTTTGGCCCAAGCGTCTTGCTGCTATTTTTTCGGTCTGGTCGTGACCGTGAGAGGATGAAGAACCAATTTTTTTGCCGGAGACTCATCTTCGCGGAGTCGCGAAGCAAGCTATCGATGCGGAAAAATTGCACCCTTCCTTCTTCGTCTCCTTCTCCTTGGTTGCTGCGTGGTATAATCTTCTACCTATTTTTAAAAACGACTCTTCAGATAAGTGTCTGTCCTAAAAGTTTGCGTGCTTGGGGTTTTATAATGAGATGAGTGATTGTTGCTGCATTAATATCAAGATGATCACTCATACTCAGCTTCGTTTTTAGTACTTATGCTAGATGAAGCTATATCTTCAAAATTTATCAACTACTAACCTTTCTCGTCAGGTTTTGTTTCTTTTCGGCGCAGCGTGGTGTCTCTTGCTCACGGTGCCTCCTTCCGATGGCTAAATCTTTACGGGTATCTACTGGCTGTCTAGTGGTTTTTGGTGTGGAAGCAATGGAAGCACAGAGTCGGCTGCTGTGTTTTTGGACAGTGAATTTATGAAACAAGAAGAGACGACGGACTATGGAGATGTTACAAACAAAAGACGTCGCTGACCCTGGTTTGCGCATTCCTTCTGGGCGTTTATTCTTGTTCAATTACGGGCCATGGCAGTCCTTATTGTTTTCATGCTTACCTACCAAGGTTAGCATATTCGTGACTGTCATACTTATTTATCATAGTTATTTATCGTACTTCTTATCTATCATTGCCAATGATAACTACATAGATGCCATAACTGTCATGCTTGTCAGTCTGTTGCGATTTGTTTTTGAAGACGTAACTGATCGTCCAAGTCCGCACTTCTGTAGTATTGTCTCCAGTTACGTTTTCTTTTTCAATGCAGTGAATGTTCGCCAAGTAGTAAACTGATTCCGTAAATTCTCAAACTGACGCACAACGAATACCCATCCACATTGACACACAGCAACGCTGGTGAGCTATTGAGCATTTTACTAGTTTTAAATGGCCTCAGGAGCTGCAGGAGGCTGAGGGCGAGACGACTTCACTTGACGAAAATAAATGAACAAAAAGCAAAAGGCGTAGAACGTTATGACGAAATAGCAGGCTATGCCTATCTATCTCGTCTCATTTTCAGCATCGCAATAATTTCAAAAAATGTAGTGACTACCTCGTAGTTATAATTGAGACCTTTTTTCTTTCTGAGCTAGAATTAAGTAGTTAGGCTTCTATGGGGCGAGTAGCAAGGCTAACATTAAGTCTGTTCGTATTTGTAGCTTTCTCTTATCTATTAGTATTATCGGAATTACCTCCTACGACTGTGCCTGCAGGTGTAGACGCAGAGACTTCGCGGACAGAGTAGCGGGCAAGACCTCGGGAGTCATAAGACCTCGTAGAAGGTAGATGGACCAGAAGTGTGCTCAGTGTGATTGCCTGTGGCAGTCGTGCTTAGTCTCCTACGCAGTATATTGATGGCTGCGCCGAGTCCGTAGCTTATGTAATATAGCTCTCCAGTTTATCTTTATGCCTGGCTGCTGTGCTACTTAATTAGGCAACTGCGGCGACTCCGTAGGCCATCAGCGTTAGGCCATTCCTCAGGCACGCACTATTCCCCTGGCCTAATTCCTCCCCGGGAAGGGCGCTGGTATTCGTAGACTTGTGGCCGATTGTGCGGTCTTATGCGCCCCCAGTATGTAACTTGGATCTTATATAGGTTAACTAATTGATTGAAAGGGTGGCGGCATATAGTCCTAACGCAAAAAAAAAAAAAAAGCTGGACTGAGGACCAGGGCGACACACAGGGAGACCCAAACTGAGTGAATGAGTGGCCCTTGAGTAGGAAACGAAAATAAATGATATGACTACCCGGCCCTTCGTGGACGTGCCAGCGCTTAAGCTAAGCCTCCTTGTCCCCTGTGGGCGGGGTATGTAGTTTACACCGCTGCACTTCAAGTCTAGTAGGCCGCTACTTGTCACATGGGAAGATGGGCACTTTTGCACTGAGTAACAAAGGTCCTTTACGTGGCTAGGTCTACAGTAACAGCAATCGCATCTACTAGTCCTTCGATGATGTCCTCCAAAGACTATTTTCTCTTCTTCAGTGCTACTGCTCCTGCGTTGTCTCGTAATTAAGTAGTAGTAAGTTCGTAGTGGTACTGTAGTGTAGTACAACAACAGCCCAGGATGGGGCTTACTACTACCACTACTACGGGGCACCCACATGAATAAGAAAACTCTAGAGGTGTGTAGCACTTTAAAAGCCTGAGGCTCCAACTCTCTGAGAGGGCTTCCGTACTAGTAGCCCGACGGGTTTCCCTCTGAATCCTGAACCCTGAATCGAGAGCCGGCTCCCCTTGGTGTCCCTTCTATATGGGAGGGACTTGATTGGCCATCTGAATCCTGAACCCTGAACCGAGAACCCGCTTCCCTTG